TTTTTTTTTTCCTGGAACTGATAAGATCGCTGTTTTTGTTGCGAAGATGATTTTGCTGAAGATTACGGGTTATCTGTAATCGTTGAGGTGGACAGAAGCGGTATTTGGGGCGGAGGGTGTTGTTTGAAGATGAGCATTGTATATATTTTTTTGTTGATTTTGACATTTTTACGAAAAGTTATTTTTGATAGTAGTTGGGATTATATTCGTGCGTTCAATATTTTGTTACCAATGCTTACGGGACTGTGTAGCTGGTTGTTTTGTCTTCTGAAGACAGATGTTGGGATTTAAAAATCCGTTTCCAGGATTTGAATCCTTTAACAGTTCGCGCTGTAACAATAATTGTTAACAGAAACTGCGGGTACAGCCGTCTGTTCGAGATCATTCCAGCAGCAAACATTAGAAATTGATGTTGGCTTCTGCAGTTCATCGAGATTATCCGGGACTTGATCCTCCTAATTTTAAGCTATGTAACCTTGTAATTTTCACATTTTGACTCGAAACTTCCGATATTCATTTTTCTTTCTGTTGTTACTCGTACCTAACGCTAGAGAGGCCTTTCATATTGATCTCAATCTCTCTTTTTACTCGCAATTTTTTAACTTATCAAATGGTTGATAAATTCACCAAATACATGGAAGGTCTTCGAGCTCACCCGGCGTTTGAGCGCAATCTTTGCAGCGATAATCGTTATTTTTGGTGTATAGAAAGTTTGGGAGACCAGTTAAGTAGGAAAAATTTTTCGCGGAACAGGAGGCATTCATATCCCGTTGAGGAAAGTGTCAAATTTTCAAGCCGCACTATAACTTCGACCCGTCGATGTTATTTGCGTGCATCCTCAGTTGAACGTCTGTTTCGTTGGTGCAAGTTGTGCCATCCAATTAGTTGTAAGTTTCTAAACATTCAGTTGTTTTCAGTTTTCCTCGGCAGTTAACTAAGATGTACGAAAAGTGGGAGAGGATGTTGGGGTTGTCGGTTTGTTAGTTACAAAAAGTTATTTTTAAGGGAAGGGCGTAAAATGCTTTTCTGAGAGAACATTTTTTAGAGGATATTTTCATAATTGATTTGGTGTCAGGAACAGTTGCTCTAGAAATTATGGAACTGTAATGGGTAATAGTTATGCTAAACTGTTTTCCAGACGACATACACGTGATCAACCTTGTGGTCTCGCGTCATTCAAAGCTCACTACAGATGCTGATGCGTAAGCTGTTATTTCTAACTATTCTCCAAGGAATTATATCTTCGGATTAATTTGCTTCTTTTATTTTCGCGGGTGAAACGTTGTATTTTTTCTATCAATAATTCATCAGCGCATAACATTTTTTGCGAGCACTGGAGAGCTTCAGGGTTATAAGTGTGCTTTAGGAACAAGTTGTTAAAATCCAAAAAAAAGGAACAGAACACTAAACTTTTTTAAATAAATTGCTATTTGCCTTGCTGGGAGGCCTGTTTGAATAAAAGTTGTGTAATTATTGTGAACAGGACAGAAAATGCTTCGTTTAATAAGGTTTTGGTTTTGTTTTATCTGTACGTTTTATAGGGCATTTCTCTATGTTATCGACTATGGTAAAAACGAAATTGTCACGGAGGATTGCACACAACAGCCCAATCCGAACATACCTACTCAAATTACTAGACTCAGTTTAAATGAGGAAATTGCGGGACGTGCAGCAGTACTTGGAGAGATTCTTTTTGTGAAGGACGCTCAAAGGTTGCTAGCTTTTTGTAAAACTAAAGTTAATTGTTAAATTTATTGGCATTTCATAGGCCACTGAAGTTTGTAGACTTTAGAATATTGTGGAATTTCGTAATTGTTTGGAAATGCTGTTTGGGGCCCAAATTTTTTCGGAACACTTATTGCATGACTAGTGCAATAGAGAAAACGTACTAGTAGCTTTTTCATTGTGTCCGATATGCTTTTGTTACCAAATCATTTTTCAGCAGCGAATACCATACGCGCAAAATGGACACGATGTGTGGCTTCAGGGCGCGAACAGTGATCTGCTTCCCAGTAAAAGACGAAAAAAGTTTGTTTTAATTAATTTTTAATGAAATTCCTTTATTTTGGGACAAAGCTGTATTGTTATTGTGCATCGTTGCTTTATATGACCGGTATCTCAGTTTAGATGAAATATTCAAGATTAGTCACCCCATCCTCTTCTCTTTCTCTTGTTTGCAATTTCTTTTCCCTTGTAGAGAAGTGACTTTTGGTAAGAGGTGAAAACTTAGAATTCTTTTAGAGCAGCTGCTTGGAGTCATTCAGATGTGTTTCAAGGAGGAGCGCAAAGACTTAAGTGATAGTGAAAAACACAGCCTGAATAACATAGCGTTATTTTGTTTGGTCGGATTACGGAATGTGAGTTCGCTGCTGTTGAAGTTTTACTTGGGTCATAAAAATTTTTCACGTGCAGTTTTGTGCTTTTTTTTTCTTTGGCATATGCGTGTTGATTTTTGTATCTGGAAGCTACAACATCTAATAAAAGTTATTTAATGACTGGGGTTTGCAGTGCTGTTACTTGAAAGAAATGGAGGAAGCAGAACTATGTTCCCACCTTGGATCTGAGCTGTTGGTTGTTGACCCAAAGAATGTGGCTAGTTTTTGCCTTTCAATGTTTTAACTTCAACGTTCTGTTTCTTTTTTTGATAACATTTAGGCTTTGGATTTTCCTGTGATAAATGCTCACAATTTAAGTGGTTTTCATCTAGGTAACGCCAGACGAAGTTAGTTCATTATTATGTAAAGAAATTTTGCCGACGACATCTTACAGTCCGGCGTTCAATGAGTTTAGTTTTGCACCACGGTCTATTGGGGACGGAAAAACTTATGTTGAAGCATCTTTTTCGATGTTTCAGGTCAGTTTTTCTCTGTTACAACGAGTTTTTTTGCTTTCACAGTTATTCGAAACTCTTGCTTAGTTTGCGGGGACAAAAAAAAGTTGTTGTTTTTCAGGAACTAGGTTTTATTGAAAAATATCATATTGATAAGGCAAAACTTGCACGTTTTATATTATTAGTGTCAAAAGGTTATCGGGACGTCCCATATCACAATTGGTCTCATGCTTTCGCTGTATCACATTTCTCTTATCTTCTTCTGCGTACTAAATCTGTCCAAGAAAAACTAACTGACATAGAACGTTTTGCCTTATTAGTGGGTAGCCTCTGTCACGATATTGATCATCGTGGGACCAGTAATAAGTTTCAGATGGATTTGGTGAGTTGTTTGTTTTTCATAGTAAGGTTGTCTGATGCGTGTTATAACTGGTTTCACTGCAGTGAGTAATTTGGGTAGTATAAAAAATCTGCGTCTATTTACAGAACACTAGGCTGTCGAGGATGTTTCAATCTAAGGGTTCGATTATGGAACGTCATCATCTAAACCAAACACAGTTGATTCTAAAGAAACCAGAGTTCAACATATTAAGCGGGTTGAGTGCTGAAGTAAGTTCCTTATAACTTACACGTATTCATTTCGCTGTTTTTTTTTTACTCTATTTGTAGGAGATCAATGAAGTAAAGGCAAATATAAATGATATCATACTTGCTACGGATATCTCTGTGCACTTGAAGAAGACTGATCTTTTTGAGAAAATGATCAAAGGTAAATTTGGGTTTTTTTTCGGAAGCCGAGCGGTTGGGTGTTAGCTCGTCAGTAATTCAACTGTCATTTTATCATGACTATATTGGTAGGCTGGAATTTTTAGATGGATATAATAAGGAACTGTTGGAACATCGCCTTTTGTTTAAAGGCTTATGTATGACTGCTGCAGATTTATCTGATCAGTCGAAAGATTTTCACAACTCGAAATCTATTGCGGTGGGTCTTGATAATTTTTTGCTAATCTTCTATAAGTTATTTGGTGACAGTTTGGAGCCTTTTTACTGAATTTGGTGACTTAAGCTTGTGACCTCCAAATTTTTTGATCTTTTTCGAGAGTAAAATAGTTTTTGTGTAGAAAATAATATTTTTTTGCTTTTTACATAGAACAGGAAGAAATTTTATGTTTCTTCGGTGTTTTATCAAGGGTAATTTTTATTTAAGGCCAATATTTACTGTGAGTTTTTTGCGCAAGGGGATTTGGAACAACACGTTTTCAAAGCGCTTCCGGCCGTCTCAATGGATAGAGAACGTGCTGATCTTCCGCAAGTTCAGTTGGATTTCTTGGATGGAATAGGAATCCCTACTTATAGGTTAGCTTTCAAGT